TCTCGTACTAAATATAAAATCTAATTACGAAATTTACTTCACCTTTAAATATAAAACCTAAATTCATTTTATTTCTTAAATTTATAATTTTTTTCAACAATTTATATTGATTATATATGTTTAGGGGATTTTCATCATAAAGAAAGTTCAAATGCAAATAATTAAGGAATTTAAGAAAAACTAACACATATTTTTATTAAATATTAATTAATTTAACTAGTTTTTTTAATATCTATAAATTAATTATATGATTCTTATATATCAAAGAGAGGTGGTTTTACATCAAAATACAGACAACTAATGACATAAATGTTGTAGTTGGAAATGTTGGAATATAATATACAAACACAAATACACAAACATACATAAACTTCTTTGTGCCCAGGTTGGTCCCCTACCTCTATATGTCTGGTTTGTGTCGACAATGTCTTATGGTTCATGATGCTTCAATTCAATTTGCTGTCCCAAGGCATGACTTATTTAATTTGTGATTAATAGAAACCAATTTGTTCATATGACGTGTATTGTACGGCTTCGATCTTTTATATAGGAAAGCTTCATTATCTAGTATTTTTGGCCTAACTTCATCATCTAGTATTGAATGCAAAGGTATTGGCATGGCTTTAAAAAATACTAATAAAAAATAACTGCATATATATACCACTCTCATCTCATCTGTATTATTGCAAGTCCCTTATAACTTATTCTTACATAATAATAAACGGATTAACATAATAAAATTTTTCAAATTTATCCTTATTAAATTTTCTTTACCTTTATGTATTTACAAATCATTCTTATATCTCTTTCTCCTGTTTTTCTCTTTTCAACAAAAATTAAGTAAAAATAAAATTAAAAAATAATCATTAAATATCTTACAAACGACTTATATTGAGGACTAAAATTTTTTCCTGCAAGCGATTTATAATAAGAATTAGTTATATCTCAAAACCAAAACATGTCTCATATAAGCCATAGTTCAAAAAAAATAATTATATATAATTGCAAGTGTAAATTCCTTACCAATAAAAATTTATTTGAACAATATATTTCATTTTCATTTTTTACGTCCGGTGATCAAGTTCAAGTCTAATCTAAAGGTGTCCGTGCAATTACAAATATTTGTTCATAGTTTGGTTTTTAGTTAGTAATTAACATAGTCTTACATATATGAGTAATCATTTCATTATTTGTACAATAAATTTATTATGGTAAACGAATTTTAAAGTTGCTGGGTTAGTTAATTACGTAACTCACATTTGTCAGAATAAATTAAAGTTAATGCAAAAATGATCATATGATTGAGATTATAATTATTGCTTAACAAACGCTGGCTTATAGGTTACGTTAATAGTTGACTTAAGGTGTTAAATGAAGGCCCTTTGACGGCATAAAACAGCACATATTTGCTGGCTCTGATAATAACTATTAAAATCTTTAATTACTCTCCATAATCTAATTCTTTAATTTGTTTGGTAAAAGTTAGCACAGCATTGATTGTAAAATAAATTTAGATTATGTATATTAAATTTTAGCAGCGGATCTTATTATTGACCCTATTTTTAGTAAATTTGAATAACTAGTGATGGTAGAGAGAGAGAGAGAGAGATAACTAGTAAAACAACAAATTAAACTTAAGGGGAAAAAGTGGGAATATTCAACTTAATTATTATAGTTCCTGTAATTGTACTTTTAAAGCCTAGATTGAGAGCGACACTAGAAAAATAATGTCAGAAATAACATATTTATTATTGACCTTCATGTATTTTTGAATGATTAATAAATAATAAGTCATTTTAACAAAATGAAAATATTTAACCTTATTTGAGCATTGAAAGTCATAATGATAATTTGTCAAACGTATTACATGTACTCTTACTTCATCATCAAACAGCTTCTTTTGGTCTACTATCAGGCTTCGTGTTTTGAAAGAATTATCAGCCAAATCCTTTTTGAAATATTATTTTATTTTCTGGATCTGAAAAGTCCATCCATATCTCAACTGCCGCCCAGAAAATTATTTATTTGCATATATATCTTCAGTCTTTAATTTATTTTTTTTAGGTTGCCCACCCAATTCACCAGAGCTTTGTTCCGACTACATCTGGATTCGATCCGGGTCGGACACCTGGTTAGGGTGGGTGAGTCTCCTAACGGGGATTTCTGCATACGCTGAGGCTCGAACTCGAGACCTCGTTTAAGCGGTACTAAGCCGTTTACCATTTGGACCAACTCCCGTTGGTTTCAGTCTTTAATTTTTAAGACATTGGTCTTTTATATATATATAATTGACTGTTATATAATGTTGAATAAATCCATTAATCTTTGACTAATGCCACGATTGTTTACAAAAATTATAATTTCATATATCCATTTTGACCAAAATATTTTTTACATTTATTACTTAATAATATACTAAATTCCGGTCAAAAGAAATGTATTATATTACGTATTCAAAATATATTTGATTAATATTTTTAGTATGAACCTTATAATCTAATATTCAAGGTTTTAAAAAAAAATTTAACTTTTAATACTACTAATTAGTAACTATTTTCTCTGATCTTAAATATAGAATATTTTTCAAAGCTTTTCTTTTTAGATCCTAATGAGAAACCCAATTGGCCAATTAATTTCTCCCTAATGTATTAAATTCGAGCATTGTCAACTTGATAGTTCGGGAGGATTATCATCTTCATATGGTACAATATAATATAATTTAATTGTGAAGTTTAATATCACACTGCTAAATTAATATAATTGCGCTTTTGCATTACGTACACACTCTGCTGACACAGTATCCAATAAGCCCTTCTCTGCTCTGCAAGTTAGAATACAGAAAAAACGAAATAACATATATTATATTATATTGTATTGTATTGTATTGTATTGTATTAAAATTAAGCAAAAATTTCGTTTTTTTTGGGTTAATTATTTCAAGTTTGAAACTTACTATAGAAAAACAAAATTATGGGAGAACATGGATTTCCTTTAAAATGAATTTTATTAACTTGATCCAAAGTAATGGGATTCTACTACAATTTCTAAAGACCAACTAAAAGATTTAGTCCCAAAAAAAAAATCATTAGGATAATTTGTATATTCAGCTTGTAAGTATAGAGCTGGGTGTGGTCTTTGTTGTATAATTATCTGACTGGGTTAAATTCAAGTATTATCAAGTTCAATTGGGAGTAGCTTTCCCAAAAAAAATTTCCGTATTTACATAAACTCAAACGTAAGACTCTGTATTTAAACTATCAGAATGCTTCCATTAAAATGAAAACCCACTAAATGTAAATTTTAAAGTGTATGAAAATCTTGCCCGATTATAAGCTTATAATTACTGCTAATTTTGAGTGGCAGTGAATATTAATATGTTCATGAGAATGTGTGCATGTGGGGTCTAAATTAGTGTATTTAATTAATATGATAATTAATTTGATTTTGATATATTCATTCATTCAATTACACGTATGACGGCTCCCAATTCATCACTGGGCCTTCCAACAGCGACAATGCCATATGCCAACTTGCATGACAGCCGTGCCTGGTGTGTGTGTGAGAGAGAGACTTATTAACAACAACAACAATAATAATATCCATAAATAAATACATACGGTAGATATTATATATTGCTAATTAGTTTATTAACCTTTTCATATAGATTGAATCTATCTGTCTAGTTAATTAACTTTTTTTTTATAAAAAAAAAGGTACTAAGTGGAATTTTTTATTTTTTATTTGTAATATAAAACATTAACATTAGATTATTAAGTAATTTTTTTTAGTGGAACAATCCGAAAGTGACGAATTACAAAAATGAAAACGAAAAATTATTATGTCTAAGTCGGCGAAAGTTTAATCATCTTTCGAAAATTAATAAAGAGTGGCCCTACGAGAAATTAATATAACTATTAAATTATTAAATGCCTCGCTATCATTAGACCATAATATTGTCGTTGCCAAAAAAGAAAAAGACAATAATATTGTCACAGTATTGGTTATGAGATAGACAACACTAGTTTCTTGTTGCTATTTACTTGTGGTATCAATATCTTTTGTTAACATGTCAGCTACGTTTTTTTTTTTCCCGACCAACTATGTTAAAATTAAAAGAACAGAAAAACTTTCATAAAATTAAATATTATAATTAAAATTTTGCTTTTTTTATTCACAATTATATATATACTTTGATATCCATTTTAAGTTTGATATGATTGCTTAATGTTTGTTAACAATACTTTACGAGTTAATAAAAAATAATTTTCCTGAAAAGAACAATTCAAAATGTTGAAAAACCAAACTAGGACTTAGAAGTTTTAATTTAATTCAGTTTAAAATTTATTCAACTTATTCAATGCTGCGCTTGCCGTCAGTATCAAACATGTTTTCCAACATTCTGGTCAAAAAAAAAAAAACATGTTTTCCAACATTAATCAACTGTCCAATTTTAATTGTAATATTATTAATTAATGTGGTGATAATTTTACCGGAAGAAACATCAAATGCCTTAACATATATATAATATTAAAAATCCTCATTTTAAATGCGGCTCATAAAGAAGTCACATCATGTAGAAAATTTGACCCAGTCATCTCTAATCTCTTGATGCCTTGTATCACGTAACTAAAGCCAAATTTCAAAACCTTTTCTTACACGTAATTCTGTATATTAAATTCTTTAATTAACTTTATATAACGCGGGAAAAAAATAACACAATAATGACAATTATATACAACCTCCAGTCTCAAATATGACAAAAAAATCATATTTCAATTAACTTTAATCAATTTTATTAATATGTGTAGAGTAATGCATTGGTCTGAAGTACACATATCAAGGCAATTATGATTGATATAATAAAAGCCATGGGGATTTAATTAGGAACAAAATGGAGTTCATAGAAATAAATATTACAAAGGCACAAAATTGAATTAAAGGGGGGAAAAGCCATGGGGATTTAATTAGGAACAAAATGGAGTTAATGGAAATTGATTAGGTAGGAGCAGCAGAATTAAGCACAATATAGCCAGATGATATGTATGAATATATATAAAATATATTTTATTTACAGGTAGCTAGCTTGAAGCTTGAAAGTGATGCTCAACAAAACTATTAATTAAGAGCTTCCAGTGGAGTCTGGTAGCGACAGAGAGAATGAGCTTTCATATTCATATTCCAGATCCTCAAATCCCCAGAACTCTTCTTCTTGCTCTTCTTCCTCCTCTGGCATCTTCCACTTTTCCTTGTCCATTTCTCCCTCCTCCATTACCTCCAGTACCTGCAACATAGATTACAAATATCAAACACATTTCTTAAAGCTTTCTTAAATAAGAGATTTTGAGTGCGAATCCTCTATTAAGATTATATACAATCGGCAAAGTCAAGATTTAATAATGAGGCAGCCAGGATTGAAAAGTGTTGCAAAAATTTTGAGGTGGCGAAAACTATATGTAGCATCTATATGATGCTGAGAAAAATTTGAAGTCTTGAGGAGGTCATGACCAGTCAATTATATATATGACTTTAATTTCAATAAAAGTTCAGAGAAGTTATGTGAGAAAGAGAACATGATAATGGAGTTCAATAAGACCCACCTGTATATGATCAAATCTCACTTCTCTCTCTTTCTCTGTCTCTGATCATATGAGAGAGGAACTCATACTTAAAATAAAGGGTATGATTAATTATGTCAATAATGTCAAAAATGATTGCTTTAAGTGATTCCCAAAAGAAAAATGAGGCCCACAAGAGTTTTTTTGTCCTTCACTCCCTCTTTAAACTAAATTAATGAACACAGTTTTGACCCATTAATTGGCTCATTTGGTGTTTATTGCTTAGGGAATATAATAATGACGTTTCAATTCACTGGATTGAGGTTTCTGTAGCTAGACGCCCCATTTTAATACTCGGATCAGTTATGAGATTTTCTGCACTCTTACTAGTGAAAAGATTAAAAGTTTGGTGAGATGGAACATCAACAGATTAATCAAATTAAAATAATTAAGGAAAGCAACAGAATGACAACAGCAAAGAGAAAATAGGACTAAATCTATGATCTTATATTGCAATATCATTATTGCTGAAAACGACATGAATAATTATCTAATAAACACCATTGTGATTGAATAAAATGACAGATTACGTAAACCTATTATTTGTAGATTTTGAAATCTCATGGAAGTGATTTCAATATAATATAACAAATTGACAAAGGCTATGAAAGAAGTGAACTCAGCAAGAAGAAAACGGTGTGCTCGGGAAAGATTCCAAGAGGGGAACATAAAAAAAATACTCACGGTAAATCATTTTCAGGTATAAACTTTTTACCTACTAAGAAATACTAAAGCAGGTTGTGTTGAAGAGCTTTTTCTCCTTTATCTTTCTCTTAAGAAAGAACACTTTCAAAGTTCAAATTCCTTTCGCTAAGAAGAGGTTTTAGATTTTCAAAAATGAATAAAAAATTTTATTCCCCATGTGACAAAAGGGGGGAAAAACATCAAGTGGACAAGTCACAGATATATTTCTAAGAATATGTAAAACATAGTGGCCCTAATGCAATAACGTGGTGGTTTTGACTTCTGTCTGTCTCCATATTTCCTTAGTTTGATGACCAAAATGAAGTTGATAATTGATTTCCGAAGGAAGGAGAAGTTAAAAGGCAAAAAAAAAAAGGACTAAAAGGCCCCAGAAGTTGAGGCAGAATCGCTCCTAACTCCTGTAATAGAGACTAGATTATATAAACTACTTAAATATTTAATTGAAAATTAAACCAGATCCACTGGCAACGGCCCCAGAAGCTGAGGCAGAACCCGTGAACGACATTATTATTGCTAAGAACTGTTCAATGTGTAATTTCAAATACAGTTGCATGTTTTTAATTTAAGTATCTCTATGTACGTATATCAACATTTACATGAGTCATTTTTCAAGTCCTTATGCTTCATAATGTACAGTAGCAGAATTGCAGAGATGATAAGAAACCTACCCTTGAATAAAAGTTCTTTTTCATGGAATTTAAATGCATCGATTTTACCCGTAAAATTTCTTCTTGTCAATTTAGCCCTGATTAGGAAATTTTTTTAATACAAACTGAGTTAGGTTTAAGACTAAATATGATGTAGTTTTCAAATTTTACTGGTATAAATTTGACTAATTAATAGTGGAGTACTATATTATTTTTTTATTATTTTATTATTAAGAAATTATGAGGTAGCAAACGCATTTGAACTACCTGGCTCATGGTAGGTCGCCAAGTTGCAGAAGCTCGAATACAGAGAGAAGCTGCAAATGCAAGTCTCTGTAACTGAGCTAAATCGTAGGCTCCTTCTAGCTTTGGGTCTACCAGCTTTTCTAATTCCTCTTTGTTCAGTAATGGTTTAGCCTGTTTGATTCAATGAAACCCAAAAAACAAAAAGGGAAGTTATAATATTAATATCAGTGTAAGTCTAACTCTGGAAGAAAACAAAATGGGATTTCACTTCCCTACAGAGCACGGCAAGTTCAGAAGAAAAGAACAAAAGATTTTTATCGTTGTGCAAAGACTTTCACTTTACCCAGTTGTGTAAGCTTTGGTGAGAGCCGTCCACCGGTTTCCTCCCTGAGATGACTTCAAGCAAGAAAACCCCAAATGCAAACACGTCTGTTTTCTCATCCACTATTCCATGTAAATAATACTCTGGTGCCAAATGTCTGAGGAGAAAAGAAAGAAAGAAAATGAAAACCTTGTCATTTCCATTCTCAGAATCTGATTCAAAGTCTCTGTATTTCAAGAAGAAGAAGAAGAATGGCATTACCCAAATGTCCCTTCTATTGGGGCTATTGAATGATGAGTCCATTGATTCGGAAGCCATTTTGCTAGGCCGAAATCAGATATCTGATTAATATTGACCAAAACGGAAACCATGATGAAACTAGGTTCCATGAAAGTAATTGGAAGAAGAACAAGAGATTGAAAAAGAAGCTAACTCTACCTGCGGTTCAAAATCTGAAGTTAATAGAATGTTTGAGGCCTTGATGTCCCGATGGATTATCCTCCTTTTGCAGCCTTTGTGCAAGTAATGGAGGCCACGTGCAGTCCCAAGAACTATCTTATGCCTGGTTTTCCAGTCCATGGGAGGCAGGTTTTGATCTACAACAAGAAGATATGTGCAGAACCCAGATGACAAGGCATGCTTTTTTTTCCCCAGAAATTGAGGTAAGATTCGATTTTTACCATGAAGAAGAGAGGCAACAGAACCTTTGGATGAAAGCTGGAAGACGAGGTAAAGCCCCTTGTCCATACAGCAACCCAGAAGAGGCAATACATTTGGATGGTTAACATGGCCGATTGTGCCAATCTCTGTCAAGAACTCCTTCTCTTTCCTCTCATCGCTCGAGGTTCTTGTCAGCCTCTTCACCGCAATCTCGTACCCATCTTTCAATATCCCCTTGTAAACCTGCGCGTAGCCTCCTTTTCCGACCAAATTCTCTGATCCCACAGAAGAAATACGTCAACTTTCGCTAACAGACAAACAAAGAAGAAAACAAGGAATCACGTACCTGAGCTGAAGCCATTGGTGGCATCGAGGAGTTCTTCGTAGGAGAAGCATTTCCAGGTGGGTCCTTGAGAAGGCTGTTCTGGGGCTGCAAGAGGCTGCAAGTTGTCAACTTTTTCATCGCTGGTGAGAACTTCCTCATTGAAACCGCGTCGCTTCAAGGAGAAGAGCCTCTTGAGGCTGCTGGTTCGGATATACTTCATTCTAGTACTGAGAATGGAACAGGGGACTCTGTTTCATGGAGGAGGGAAGGAGAGAGTGTGGTTTTTGACGCTCTTCCCAGTGTGAGAGAGAGAGAGAGAGAGAGAGAGAGAGATTTTAAGAGGGAAGAAAGAGTCAAAGGGATGTTTGTAATTTTCTTGGGATTAAGGAACAGCGTGAAAGAGGAACGGGACGGCTGGCTGAGGCATAAAATTGGCCTATTGCCGAGGCTCCGTTGTACGTCTTCAATGCTCTGTCTTATCCTCCTCTGGAAGGCCCCCATTTTATTTTTATTTTTATTTTTTATTGACGTATTTCAATTTTCAAGATGCATTTAAGTCTCACTTTTATATTGGGTTGGATTTGGAGGGTAAGTTTCAAACTATAGTTTCAGAAGTGTTTTTTTTATAAAATGAGATAAATTTTTTCACATATTTATTTCGTAAATTGTAAAAACACTTCTGAAACCATAGTTTGATTTCTATCCAAATACCCCCTTAATTTTAAATATAAAAATTATTTAAAAATTAAATTTGATTTTAAATATAATATTTCAATTTATTTTGTCTTCTAAACTTATAATATCTTCTTCCAAATATTATTATTAATTGTGAAAAGTTTCTATTAAAAAATTTAGGAAAGTTAATATACAAACATTTATTATAAATAATTAAATTAATTAATTTTCTTATTCTTTCTAAATTAATTACATAACTATTATAGTAAGGGCCAGAAGTATATTAGAAAAAAAAATTTATTTATACTTCTAAAATTTTAATATTATTTTTTTATCTTCATCCATCTTAATGCTTTCAATGAATGCAAGGAAAAATTATTTTTTGAATTACAAAAATTTAAATAAGTCATATTTATTATATTTTAATAATAGTAATTAACTATACTTAAAAAGCAAATGACAACATATTTTTGTAGTAATTTTTTATTTGAAAATTTAAAATTTAAGAGATATTTTTTTTAGGATTTTTCTTCAATCTACTGGTGTTTATACTACTATTTTTCACTTACTCTTACTATAAATAAGGATTTTTTTTAAAGAATTAAAGAGAATTTTTTTAAAATAAGATATTTTATTTATGTTTATGGCCAAAGGGATATGTTTTTTTGCATAAATGTATATAGTTAAAAATATTTTCCATTTAAATATAAACAGTGATATTTGGTTGAGCCTTTGATGATTTTTTCAATATGTTATTGGCGCTTTATCTTGTAGAATTGCAAGAATTGAGATGTCTTCAATTCCTACTGATTTTGCTTTTAAATGCAGGAGCAAGAACCACGTGTTACCTCCAAAAAAATGTGAGAACCATTTTTTTCACCTTTATATTACATTCAAAGTGCAATTTGCATTATGAAATGGTTTTTATATTTAGCATTAAATGCAGTATTTATTGTCAATTTGCATAATATTAGCAATTTAATAATATGATGTGTACATATTACTTTCTTCAACTATTTGATAATAATTAGGTGACAATTATCCCTAAGATTATCTGCAGATTAAATAATGAGTTTGAATTGGACAGTGTTTTTAATGATAAAGCTTATGTTAATGTGATCAAGAAGATTATCAAGGCAAATATTTGAAACAAAATAAATTACTATTAACTTTTAGCACGAAATCAATTAGTGCAAAAAGTGTAATTAAGAATCTCTCTTTACTAATTAAAGTGGGAGACCCCATTTGTAACAATCCTAGAAGTTGCTAGTAATCAACTTTGTATTAATTCTTTTGTTCTTTTGCCATATTATTCCAAGCTTTGAAAGCTTATGTATACTTTTATAATAAGAAAGAAGAAAATGGAGGGAAACTTCAAACCCCGTTTGAAGAAAAAAAATGATTCTCTACACGAAAATCCGATGCTATGTATATTAATGGTATTTTTTTCAGTCTTAAGTATAAGATCCATTTTATAATTTAAATGTAAAATATAAGACCCACGTTATAACGTAAATTTTATATTTAAAACTGGAAGAATATTACAGAGACATGTGATTAAGCATAACTTATAGAAAGAATATATGGTTTGGCTGATTAAACTTCTTTGCTTTGTGCTGTAATTGAATGTATTGGCCATCGAAAAAGTTAGATTCCTTGTCAGTAATTTCCTTTCAAAATTGTCATTTCAAGTTTTCTCTACATTAAAAGTGAATTTTGAATGTAAGAATTAAAGCGACGAACTTTCCGGTAAAACAAGAACAATAATACTATTGTCTCATTATTAGGAGCAAATAAAAAAGAAAAATTGCTGAAAATCTCCCGTTGAAAAACTTATTACCCAGAAGTACCTACAGAGTTAAGTTCTCGAGTTAGTTTCAATTATTTTTTAATTATATACTCCTTCCAATCCTTAATATAATATCTTATTTGATTTTTATTTTAGTCTTAAATATAAAACCTCAATCCACTTTGTCTTCAATATTTGTGTTTTTTTTTTAAGATAACCCTTCTAACAATGATAGTGCTAGCTAATATACTTGATTAGTAAAGATATTTTAGAAAAAAATAATACATACTTATTACAAATAACTAACTTAACTTCTTTATTTAATCTCCTCAAATTAGTAAACTAACTCTTATAATTAGGACCGGAGGTAGTATAACATATTTTTAGCTAGATGCAATATTTTATATATATATAAAATTAGAGAAAAAATTACATTCGCTAAATATAAGTCACTTTTTTTTGGCTAGAGAATATAAGACATGTTTCGGTTTTTAAACAGATTTTACGTACCTTATACTATATATGTAATTTAAAGGCATATTTTCATTTTAATTTAATTATTTAAAACTTATAATAATTTTTAATTTTGGAGACCAAGCACCTCGAATGTATCAAGGGAAAGTTGTTCGGAGGGAGAATACTAAAGAGAGGAATGAAATTAATGGTAAGCATTAATTCTCATAACTGTACATGCACAGAGGAATAACAAAGACAACCCATTCATGAGGTCGTCAAATCACATGGATGAAATAAATTAAAACATTCAAAATGTATTTTATTTTCTTTTTTTTTTGACCAGGGAAAATGTATTTTATTTTCTGAATTCTCAATTATACTGCTCCCTATGCCCCTGTTCCAGTTTACTCGATAATATTTCTTCCGGTTTTTGTTATAAATTTTAAATAATTAATTTACAGATAATAAATAATTAGTTAAAATTAATTAAAAATAATAAATAATTTAGAAATATACTTTATTTCTAAATATACCTTTATAATAAATGAAAAAAAGAATGAAAGATAATATGTGGAAAGATGTGATAAGAGAAAAATAATCAAGGGCAATATTAAAAAATACATTAAATGTTAAGACAAACTCAAATTGAAATGTATAGAATGGACCACACCTTTTTTCAAATTTGAAGATTATAAATAAGACCAAAGAGACTATAAAAAGTCCTGAAGAAAAAAAATAGAAGTCCAAAATATAAAAAGTTTAGAGGTAATTAATCATCCCACTTTTATCCTATGTCACAAGAAGTAAAGAAAGTTTTAAATGCAAAAGAGATGATAAAATTTTACAATCAAGTTCTTTAATAAGAGTAAAATAGGTAAATTTTATCAATTTAAAATACATTTAATGATTTAACTGCTACCTTGTTAGGAAGCTTAACCAGAAAGTAGTAGAGAATAAGTAATCAGTGTTATTAATGACTCTATTTATGATCACAATACATACAATGCATTAATTTCTCTTAAATTTTTAATTCAATTACTCCCTCAATTTTAAAATATAAATCTTCTAAAGTTTTAGTACACAAATTAAGAAATCCAATTAATAATTAATAATTATATATTAAAGCCTGCAAGGGTCGGGTCCGACTGGTCGCAAACGGGAACGCAAGGCGCCTTCCCTACCATGTCATGGGCTCGATACCTGCGAGTGCACCTGGGATTAGTCTGGCCGGATGGGCTGGGATACCCTGAGTTAGCGATACCATCCTACTCAAAAAAATAATAATTATATATTAAAATACTGACCGTATTACAAAATTTGCATTTAATTTTATACATTAAAAAACATTCCTAGGTTACTCACATAAGAGTGTAATAAGAAAAATGTTAATAAGCGATGTTTTAAACTTTTAAACAGACATGCAAATTGTTAGGGTTGTAGTTTAATTGATGTCAAACATTTTTCTTAATTTTTTTAAGTGTGTGAAATTGTGAAATTGAACTTTTTTTTTTTTTATATAGAAGGTATAATAGGTGCGCAAGTTATTAAAAAAAACATACTTATAGATTCAAATAATTTTTTTGATAAACTTATACTATTAACAAAGCTTCTTCTTCTTTCTTTTTTTTTTGAAATCGGTATAAAAGGACCCGAGGGAGTATACTTGTAGACAATTTTTCTTATATTTTGCATGATTTAAGCGGTAAAATAACATATGTAATAACTAATTGATAGTAGCAGAATGTTTCTCACATAAATTAACTGGATGGGACTTCATGCTTTTTAATTTTTATGAAGAGTGAAAAGTTTGGAACAATTTACAATTGATATTAAATTTTAAAAGCAAAGTTATTTACTCATTGATGATATAAAATTTAAAGAATCACAGACATTTTGCAATCAAATGGAAACAAATAAAAAAAACTAGCCACTGTTAAAAAAATAATCAGAAATCAATTAGACGTCAAACACAACATATTCACCACTAGCTAACAAAAATATTGATGCGAAGATCCAATTTTATTGTATTTAGTGTACATGTTTTCCTTGTTACTTATTGAGTTCAACTTTATTCATTTTCAAATAAAAGCAACAAATTAGCACCATGTTCTCTTCCTCTCATAAAGAACAAGACAAAAAGAATTAATCGAAAAAAAGGAAAACAAACAAAAATTAATACTTTCTCTTAAGGTGGTAAACCCTGACGATGATGATGATATCCGTAGTAATATTTTAATAAAACTTTTTTTGCCAGCAATTTTTTAAATAAATTTATCTATAATGAATCAAAATTTCAAGGTTCAACGCGGCTGCTTCAAAAACTTGTGCAGTTATTATGTTTTATCCTAAACATGTATGGGTCTGGTTTCTAAATCTCCACTAAAAATTATTTACATCATATAAAGAAAAAATATAATAATGTATGATACAAAATAATATATTACATTAAAAAATACTTC